ATGTATATGTATAGTTGATGCTGAGTTATTCTCGATGACACTGCACAAAAGAATCTTTTCTCGAAAGATTCCAAGTAGCACTTGAGACGTAGGCAAGTGGACAATGGACTTGGAATATGGTGAATACAAGGAAGAAGTTTGTCGCATTTACGTATGTTCTCTACGTCCAAGGGAATCAATTATTCAGCGCGCGTAAACCGTCTCCCACGAAGGTTTCAATTACACGACGATTCGTAACGATATTACACTTAACGTTGGCGACCAGAACAAATGCCAGACTGATCTTTTACGAGGACAAGGAGAGCGACGCAACGACGATCGAACGGCATCGTGACTCGATTCGAGCGCGTTTAACAGGTCTAATGAACACTTAGCGTTTAACATAAAACAACAAACGACTCGTGCCTAGATTAGACAAGCAACCTATACGGCAAATTGCGTCCCCTTGTCTCCTCTCTTCTGCACTTCTGATTTTTTGCTAGACACGGTCTAACGCGATCGGAATGCGAAACACAAGTGGAACCTCTCTATATCCGTTGCCAAAAGTTTTTTACTGCACGATTTATTTTTTTTTTTTTTTTTACTATCGTCGTTTCTTAAATCTCTACAAACTCGATTATTCCTTGTTTAGTAAAATTCGTCTGATTTGATATTCTTCCGAAACGAATAGATAAAAAATATTAAGGAAAGAATATATATATGTAGAACGAAAATGTATAAAACAAATTTTATCTGGAATATTAGATAACTTAATTAGAATTTAATAAAGTACAATTATTCGAATAGAATATATAATATTCAGAAACCGAACGATTTATCTCTCGTTGAAGTTGATTAATTCGTCTTCTGCGTGATTTCTGATCTTTCGATTCACGATGAAGGGAGGGGAAAAAAATTGAGAGATTTCAAATTCAGATCAATGTTCAGCATCGAGCGGCTTCGAAGACCGGAGTTCTTCTATTCAGAATGGAACACGTCGAGGTATCGAAACCTCGGAGGCAGTTAATTAAGATTAGCTCAATTATACGCGTTTAACCCACTTTCGCCTTGGTTGCGCAAAATCGTTCAACGATCTGAAACACTGCGACAGATGCTAATAACGATTTCCACCGGTTTTATAATAAGAGCAGCCGGCAAAAACCGCGCAACCGACCGACGGCCGGCTTCGCCGCACACGAACGCTCTCGCGTACTCTGCTGCCTAATGAGCAGCAATTAATCTCACAATTCGAACGTATGTATTTATTAAACAACCTCGGGGTGACGATCGCGACGAGGAATCATTCGTGGCTACGATGACTCATCATCATCGTGACTTTTATTCCTTTAACGATCCCGTCTTAACGATCAACCCTTTCCACGCTTATATATCTCGAAGAAATATTTACTTAAGCATTGTAGGGATTATTTCAATTTCTTCTTCTGCCCATTGAAACGGGTTATTTCATTTATACGGACGGAACGTTTGTTTACCTTATCGACACGAAAGGAGGAGTAGCCAAGTTATAAGAATGGAAATATTATTCTAAAGAAACAATTTGAACATTGACAAGATGGCAGACAAATGGAAGAATTAATATATCTTTTCATATATATCGTTCCAATAATTATAATATAATCAATCCTCAACGTTTCGTTCAACGCGAGACTCGTGACGCGACGTTTAATATCGAGCCACTCGTGGGTCGAATTTTCGCGTCGCAATTTTCAAATGCTGTTGACTCGAAAAAAAAAAAAAAGAAGAAGAAGAGGATGGCCACGAAAGAGTTAAGAAGGAAGGGGCGGTCACGAATCAGCGTGAGAACGTGTTCATTGGAAACGAGGAAGATTACGAAGTGCGGTTCGAGGGCTCGTTGAAATCGATGAGAGAGAGAGCAGCACCGCTTAAAAATAGTCGTTCGAACGCGATAGTCGTTTAAACGAAACAGCAGGGAAGGCTGAAATGAGCCAAGATAACGGTGCATCGGAGACAGTATCTGGTTCAAGGGCTGTGTGCACTGCGCGCTTTTAAGAAAGTCTTCGACCTCGCGAGAGACGTAGATCGTAGAGAGTTCAACGATGATATAGGATGATTCGATCGATCTTTCGTCGTTGATCGAGATTTTAATTTTTCATTGTCGATCAATATTTATTTTCGTTCGAAGAGAGATTAAGAATATTCAAAATTCGTAGAGCACAATAAAATTTTTGATAATAAAACAGCGCTTTCCAAGTTTCGATTTCTTCGCGTTAAAATCGAAGACGTCTCAGAATTATTGTCGATTCAGGAGGATTAAATGCATAGATCGAACAGGACAGAAGCTTAAAAAATTAGAAAATTCAATAGAATCGAATCACGCAACGATCGAAACAAAGCAAAACCGGAATCATCGGTTCGAGCGCGATTTTTCTGAAAAAAAAAGAAGAAGAAGAAGAAGAAGAAGAAAAGGGGGAAAAAAAGAAGAAGAAAGAGAGGATCACGTGACTGGTGAAACAAAAACGAAGGCGCATAACCTCGCGACACGAGCACCTCGATGGCACGAGTCCGGCGATCTCGGGTTGGGAGAGGGTGGGAGGACATTGGAGAGGGCACACACGACGTGCAAGCAGCGAAGGAGGAGGAAGGAGGGGCGGCAAGCCCCGACCATACGTTTGAGTTGGTTGACCCGGCTCGGCCACGTTCCTACCTTCACCTCAACTTCGTCCTAAGGAATAGCCTTCACGCTTGCGATTTCATTCCACGCGACCGCGCTGCTTTTATTCCTGGATTGACCCCGCTCCGCCTCCGCTCCTCTCGATAATTGATAGATCGAAAATAGGATCGATCTGTTCAAATCATGAAAATTTATTTATTTATCTTTATTATTTACCCATTATAACCGCTACAAATACCAAAGTATTTTTTAATAATCGCTAAAATAAAATCTACTTATAATAGGATTGATCATCAATTTTTCATCGACCACACCATTTAACGAGAGAAATTTGTATAATAAAGTTACAGCTTCAAACTTTTGAACGGAGAAATTATTGAAACGTGCAAAAGTATCTAAGATCTAAGATCGGTAGAGCTATACCGTGACACGTACGCGTTATACGACGACGTAATGCCGAAAGAGTTGAAGAAGCATCGAAGGGAGGGTTGTGGCCATGTCGGGTTGGCCCCCAACCGACGCATAATTCACGGGGAACGGGACATTTTCCGGTTTCGAGGATCCCGGAGGAAGCGTGTCTTTCGTGCAGTTGTTGGAGAGGCAGGCAACGGAACGAAGATCCGAGTAAAGCCGGTATTACGGAGAGGTAGCGGATCGAAATAGTGCGGGAAAAGGTGGAGAGAGAGAGGAGAGGAGGGAGGATGGGCCGTTTGCGAGTGACGGAGAAGGGGGGAGAGATTAACAACGGGAGGGAGGAGGGGGGAGGAGGGAGAGGGAAAGAAGAAAGCAAAGGACAAGAAGGGAGAGAGAGAGAGGAGGAGGCGGGAGAGGGAAGCTCGAGGATTGTGTGCCTCTGGCGCGATGTTCAGCTCGTGGAGGATTACTACCTCTCGAACCGGCGAGAGGAGGAGAAAAGAGCGGTGGAGGAAGGAAGAGGGGAAGAGGGTGAAGGGAGGGGCAGACATCACGTCGTCAATCATGGTCCAGTTGCTCCTATGTACTACATATTCCCGGCGAGAGGAGGACGGAGAGGGCACGGAGGGAGGGCAATGTACATGCTACTGCATTGTGGCGCACAATGTTCAATCATCTCTCCGTCGATTCCTTCGGCTTTAATTGAAGAAAGGGTCCCTCGAAACCGCGCGGCCGCGCGGGGAGGAATCTCGCCCGTGA